TGTATGGATTGTGATAAGAGTCATATGAGCCCCTAATAAAACGATTAAAAAAAAGACACCTCTCCTACAATTTTGGCCAACCCCGCCATTACCACCCATAACCACCTGGGCCCCCAGTAACAGCCAAGGGTAGTGGTTCTCTGAGAGCTCTTTGCAGTGTGAGGAGTCCACCCAGTGCTCTGTAAGCTAGTTCCAGTACCCAGACTGTTTTACCTGGCAGACATCCCCAACACAGGACTGAAGAACCAGGCGACAAACACCCTGAGAGACCTTTGCTGGAAGTGATAGGAGATTGCATCCCAGATGAGTCTGTCCCTCTCTATCCTCGTCCACGGCCAGGTGCCGAGACCTGGAGCTGCATCCTCTCACTCCCCCACCTCATCCTTCATCCTTTTAGATTATCTCCCACTGCTCACTACACAGAGAAATCTTCAAAGGAAGGGTGGGTGTGTCCCGAGGAAGGAGTGAGCAAACGTGTGTGTGCGCACATGCATGCAAGCAAGCAAGCTGGAAGACCAAAAGACCCTTAGGTCAGGCCTGGGGTCCAAAAGAGTGGCTGAATGCTCAACCCCAAAGGAGAAGCTCTGGGCAAAGCTGACTTTTTCCCTGGGGGACTGCTGCCCCCAGAGAGGGATGAAATGAAACTAGTTCATGTCGGATAATAACTCAGACCTCAAAATTCTAATTCCCAAAAGCCACCAAAACCAAACTCAGTGCCATTGAGTATTTCCTGACTCACAGCGACCCTGTAGGGCACAGAACTGCCCCTGTGGATTTCGGAGACTGTAATTCTTTATGGAGTGGCGGGTGGCTTCAAACCACTGACCTTGAGGTTAGCAGCAGCCTAATGTGTAATCCACTATGCCACCAGCTCAAATGTTGCTTTTAATGTTCCCAAAGACAAAGGGGACATTAAAATAAAACAGTACTTTTTAAAAACCTAAGGGAGAAACTTGTGCTTATTTTATCTTGTTCGCTATCTAAAAGGAAGAAGGATGAGGTGGGGCATGAGAAGGTGCAGCTCCCAGGTCTTGGCACCTGAGCTCGGACTAATGGAGAGGGACAGACTCATCCGGAAGGTGTTTTCCTGACACTTCCGGCGAAGGTGTCTCAGGGTGCTTGTCTCCTGGTCCTTCAGTTCTGTGTGGGGGATGTCTGCCAGGTAATGTATAGTCTGGGTATTGGAATTAGCCCACAGAGCACCGGACAGACTCCTCAGACCCCAAAGAGCTCTCAAAGAGCCACCACCATCTCTGGTGGTCCAGGTGGTTATGGTGGTATAGGCGGGGTTGGCCAAGGGGGGGGTGCACGCTGAGCAAAATGTGTTTTGGACTTTGCCAAAGACTTCTTGGTCTATTGACTATATGATCTTGTCATCAACTCTAAGGCGTCCAGACGGCTGCCCTTTTCCTCGGCAGCACCAGTCGCGCCCCCCACCCCACCCCCCCAGACCACCACCCAGAATGTTTCTCTGGCCCCGTCCTCCTGGGTTCAACCTGCATCCCTCCACGAATACCCAGAATGCTATTGTTCCCCGATGCTGCCGAAGGCCAACCATGACCGTCATCCTCAAATTGGGCTATGCCTCCTCCTGGGCTCTTCTTCGGGGAGGTCTGAGCTGGGTAGGGAGAGGTCCAGCCTCAGGACCTCCGTGCACCCCTACTGTGGTAAAATGAGTCCCATCTGCTGGCCTTTGGCCTATTTCTTTGAACTAGTTAGAGAGAATTCCCCTAAGCCCCAATGAGTTCCCTTTGCTCTAGGGTCCACCCCGGAGGGTTTGTTACTTTTGTCCCAGTGGAGTAACATTTCCTGAGTAAGCTGAAAATAACCTGTGACTTGATACCCAGGCTGCAGGCTGCCTTGCGATTGGTAAATGCCTGTCAGGGATTGGCCAAGAAAGAGACTGTGTCAATGAAGTGTCTGGAGCCTACTATGCAAATGAAGTATCCTTAGCCTACCAAGAGAGGATTGGTCCATCCATGGCTTTGATGGGAGGGCCATGCCTTGAAATCCCTGAGTTGTGTATAAAAGCAGCCTACTTCTGAGAGGTTAAGTAGACAGAAGGAAACATGAAGAAGCAGAGAGAGAGGAGGCAGGGAACCTCCTAAAAGAGCTATAATGTTGGTAGGGTGGCAAGCCTGGAAGGAAGCCAACAGGGCAGCCAGCAGCATCAAGCCCAGAAGGGGCCCAGTGGCAGCAACAGCTCGCGGGGCCAAGAGGAGCCTATCCTCAGGGATCTCCAAAGGAGGCCTGCATGGCCAGGAGGAGCCGAGCGAAGAAGAAGGGAGACTCCCTGCGTGCTGCCTGATGCTGAGTTGTAGCCCATTGATCCCGATCTCATGCTGTACCCGGCTCCTTACTAAACCACTGAACTCTACGTTCTGTGTGGCCACTGGAATCGATCCTGGAACCCAGGAGTGAAGAAGAGAGGAGCGGCTGGTGTCATAACTAGTGAGAAGGGTTGGAGCGCACCCTTCTGAAAAGCGGTCGGGGCTCATTTTGGTCACTGTCCCCTCTGAAGTTAGGCAGGTTGGTGTGAGGAGGAGGAGGAGGGGCTGAGGTTTCTGCCATCACCTCACCTCTGGTCAACCTCCCTAAGCAGTACTGTGCTGGGGACCGGCCGGTTAGCATTCATCTATTCTGGATCGACTGCCTGCCGCAGACCTTTCCTCGGTCCATGAGAAGGGCTCACCCCGCAGGCCAAGGGTCTTGCTACAGCTCCCAGCTCAGGTCTCTCCGACAATGAGTCGTGCTGGAGAAGGCTCTGGAAAAGGCACTGGAACATCTCAGGTCTGGGAGAATTTGTTGAAAATCACAGCTGTCGTTACCCCGTTACCCCAGGGATGGTCATTTCCCTTTCCTCAAGGGTCCACCACGAATACTGAGAGCTGGTGGCACAGGCGGCTGGAGACCCCATTCCAAAGAGCCTCCGGGCAACTGTTTCAGCACATCCTTGGTCACAGCAGCTGTCCCAGAGCAATCCCTGATACCAGAATCACACAGAACCAGCCAGAGTGAACATTCCTCTCAGCGTCACGCACCACGGATGTCTCCAGGGATGGGGTAGGGGACCAATCAAGACCCAGGACCCGGAGGAGCTAGGAGCTCGGTAATGTATCTGTCCCCTCACCTTAAACTGGCCGCTCGTCTATAAACAAGGAGAGGCAGGGGATCCCAGTGGTTAGAAACATAGGTGTTGTTGTTGATGCTGTTGTTTTGTTTTGTGCTCAGAGATGCTTGGGTAGGGATTTCCAATTTGCCTTTGATGGTGTGATCTGGGGCAAGTGTCTTCATGTCAGTCTGACTTTTCTTTTTAAAA